TCAGTATATTCAGAATATCATTTAACTGAGCACAGCCATAAGTCACATCAGTTGCATTTCCATGACCTTTTTGAGGTGAAAAAACTTAGCCAAATTCAGAGAATTTTCTTTTGATTTCCCTTTGTAGACAAGTCTAGCACTGGGATTTCAGCTTTTCCTGATAATCAAGTATCAGTAAAGAAGAATCTCTTACACTAGAGTTTCCCTGGTCATATATTTATTGAGTGCCTGTAGGTACCTCATGCTATCAGCCATCAGAAAACATGGAGACCTGTTCAACAGGGCACTCTGCCAATGAAGGCAATCATCATAAAATGCAGCCTCAGCCCCAAGAGAAAGGAAGAATATTTTTTGTTTTTCCCCAACAACATAGTCAAATACTTAAATGTCTCGTATTGCAAGTTCAAAGGAGGTAAACAGACCACATATGGGTTATGAAACCCAGGGGGCATTATAAATCATTAAGTGGTTAGAAAACACCATCTTAGCTTTCCTTTGCTATCTTCAGAATAAAGAACAGGTATCCCCTTGTTGAGAAATTCACCAGCTTGTATCATCTTATTTCCTCCCTGATTCATTTTAAGTCTTCTTTCTTCAGTAACTTCACTATCTTTACAGCATTATGAATATTATGTCTTTTAGTTAGGAAAGCGAGGAACATACTCTTCCACAAAAGTAGATTGAAATGATCTGTAATTCTCACATTTCCAACTGTTTCTGCTTTGTTTTAGGCAGAGCTGTCATCCTTGCCTCAGTCTTAGAAGATCTATTCAGACCTTAAAATCTTTCCTTCTCTTTTTTGGAGACATCAAGTCACTCTACATTTTGTTTGTAAATCATCTCTGTGTGTACAGATGTTGTTGTTAGGTGCTTTTGAGTTGAAACCAACTTATAATTGACCCTCCATCAGGATTTTCACAGAACATAATTCAAATAGGAAGAGATTGCACAGACTTCTCCTGTAGAGCGGCTGGTGGATTTGAACCACCTGCCTTTGGGTTGGTGGTGCGACTCAATAAAGATTACCAATTGTGGGTACATTTATATGTACATACATATAAATATGTAAACATACATATGTGTGTTTGTGCATATGTTTCTGCTTATAATTACTAATTGTCAACAACAAAAAAATCACATTGTGTTTTGAGTCACTATTTTCTAAATGCACGATAGCTGGAAGCCTTTGCCTTTCACCAGTAAACCCTTTAGCTATGTAACAAATCACCTCTGAAAGGCAATCACTAATTAGATTCTTTTCATTTGCTTAAAAAGAAAAAAAATTGTTGATATGCATGTGGACAGAAGCAAATTATGCTTCTCTATTATGTTAAGGCAATTTAGTATTAGTTTCTCTGAAATTTCACCGTTTTACCACACCAGAAAACATAATTGGTCCATAAAGTGATGTCTGAAGACTGCAGGACATACTGATTATTCAGGTAATGTTATTTTATGAACATCAATAGCATGCTTTTCTGGAAAAAAAATTAATCATTAATCAGCCAAGAGTCCACAATATACAAACATGACCATGACACAAAGGGGTCAGGAAACATCAAAATTTTAAAGATTTAGTAAAATCATGTAATGTCCTAGAATTTACAGCTGTTTCTGTGTTTGATGTTCTAATCTGACACAAATGTTTTCTAATTACAAGTAAATATGTATCGGAACTCTTTTATCTAAAATGCTACCATGATAGGAATTGACATCTTTAAGTACTAAAGAACCTTGAATTGACATTGATACATTTTTTTTAATAACGCAGTGTATGTAACTTCCACAGAATTTTTTTTAAACAAAGGAATACATTTCAGGACTAAGGGGGTTTCAAGATATTCTGATTTGCTTGAATAATGCCAGCTCTCATTGTTCTTTTTTTTTCCAGCAAAATACATTAATAAAGCACTCTGTGAAATAACAGTAATCTTTTCATTTACTTTTTGGTCTCTTAATTTTTTAAAAGTAGACAGGGAGCAGAGGTGTAAGGCTTTATTTCCTGGCTGACAGAACCACCTTTACTGTTGCTATACTCAATTTCAATAAAGTTTCTATGAAACTCTTATCTCTTCAAGAAAAGGATTTGTAAAACTAAATTCTGGACCTCTATTAAAATGCTAGGATGCTTTCAGGTAAATGTCAATACCTCTGGTAAAGTCCAGAGATAGGACATTCACTCACTTATAAAAAAAAAAAAAATCAGAATGTGTCCACAGAACACCAATACCATCCATGAAGAAAACATTCACTTTCTTAATGTCTATTTTAGCATGAAGTGATTTACTCTTTGAGGGTCAAGTCTCTCCATGATGCACTATTCTGTTACTATCAGCACTGATCCACACATCATTATTCCTATTACAACAGAATATGAGTGATCGAACCCTTAAAGTGATTTTGTCACTAGCGTCTTACTATTGTTCATTTATAGAACTATTATCACCAACTGAATTTTTAACAGGTAACTTTATTGATGAATGTTAATTTGATTTTCAAATTATTTTTATTGCCAGAATAGCCTCATGAAGTATAAAACTGATAAATTATTTTTTCGTTAAGAGTGGCCCTCTTAGCGCAAAATCTAACAGATTATGTGTCATCAGAAGAGATCAAGCTTTGTAACATTAGATGTGCTAGAGAATGATTCATTTCTTTTGCTGAAGCCTCACCTTTGGAGTGACAAGTGGAAGCCAAAATATTAAGGAGTCCTGTTGGAACAAGGGAATAGGATGGTGTTTAATAGATCAGGGAACCAAGACACAGTAGTAAGACACAGTAAAGAATGTAGAGTGTGTAGATACAATAAAGAATTTTGCTTTATGATCTGCCATCCTGTTATATGAAAAGGAATAAGTTAGGGAAATAAATAACTTTCAGTTCTCTGTACATGCAAAGGTAATATAGTTATTACAAAATTCTGCTGCTGTATGTACTGGAAAAAAAGCATGTGCATTTCAACATTTTAAAAATAAATCACTCAATAGACTTAAGAAAAATACTTTAGTTCATATTTCATTGAGCTGACCTTTTGATTTAAGATCAGGGAAAGGATGAAAACCAAAACCAAAATAGAAATGAATCATTTACCATGGGGGTAAGGGAGGGGAGGGGAGAAGGGCATTCTGAGTCCCAGCTAACTTTGACTAGTTTTTATTGCATTATTTTTTAAATGCCCAGAAATGGCTTTGGCCAGGTTTGCAGTTCAACTAAATCACCAGCTGCCAATAAGCAAGTGCTTGCAACAATTAGCTAAACACCAATATTTGAGAAATTCCCTTGAAAGAGATGCTGTAGATATCTAACACATATGGACGCATGTAACAATCGAGCTGCTTCTGAACAAGGAGAAAAGTTTGTAACTCTTTGCCCAAGGAAGGGGTTTCTTGCAGCCTTATTTTATATTTGTTTTTAAACACATTAACCTTGAGCTTACACATCTTTTCCTCTGTTCAGGAATGAACTGTGACATTGGCAAATGAGGAGGGATAAAAAGCCAGCAACTCTAGATTCACTTATAAGGAGATTAGAGGGAAAGGAATAATAATAAAAATAGTGAAAATATGGAATGGCAATGATAGACAACATGGAGAAAGAAGGGAGGGGGGAAATGAAACCTGCCAACAATTTCCACTAAAACAGTAAACCCTTTAACTGACAGAAATTCAGTATAAGATACACACTGATTAACAAGTCCATCACTGCTAGGGATGCTGTTGAAAGCAAAAAAAAAAGAGAGAGAGAGAAATAAATTAACTACAATAGTCAGCAAATGAATTCTCATAAGATTTGAGAAAAAGAGTGAAAAGGCAATGTTAGCTAAGCTCTTAGCTAAATCCACTCTTAATGGCCCCCAGTATTTAAACTATCATGGATTAAAGCCATGAAAATAAAAATTTCAATTTGAAATTTTATTAGCATGTTGCTAAAATGGTCAATAAAAACATCGACAAGATAGGCTTTGTTGACATTGTTGGAAAACTGCTCTCTCATTTTTTTCAAAACTTTATTTCCACTTGCCCACCTTCTGAGATATCTATGTTAGGTAAAGCCAAACTAAATATACTGGCTATGGTGTTGTAATAATGCTGGTTTCTGGAATGTTTGCCATGTCTTCCCACCCCACTCCCGCTCCCTCCATTAAAAATACTATTTCTGAAGTGCAGCCCAAAGGGAGGCGGCAATCTCAGGTTAAAAACAGTAAGTGCCCTTCTCTATCCCTTATGGTGCCCAGACACCAGGTGAGTTACTTCCACTCCCAGGACAGGGCTAGCTCTCCTGACCAAATTAGCTGCGCCATTTTCCTCTGGGGACCCCCTTCCCCCCCAAGGCTTTCCTTCTGCCAGGGAGGAAACTCACAAGCTAATGAAGGTGGGCGGAGGCCTTCGCTTCTGGGAAACACACACTATCTGGTTTAGCCAGGAGCCTAGAACACGATGTCAGGAGCCCTGGGGCCACAGAGCTACAAAAGTTTGGGGTAACCTCAGGACAACCTGGAGCCCCCAAGTGATTTCTCGTGGAGTTATTCACAAGTGCATAAGGGACAGGCTCGATTTCTTGGAAATCTTGCAATCAGGGGACACATCCATACTGGAGCTGCTCTGTTCTCTGGAAACAGTTATCATGGGTCTGAGCCTGTGCGTTTGGGGAGATGGTGGTCCCTTTTGTGTGAGGGAGGTCAAGCCCCTGCTTCCCCAACCCAAATCCTTTCCCTCTTACATCTGGATGGGTAAAGTGCACTCTGGGGCTCCCAACAGTAATATCACTGGGGGTCTCAGCCAGGAGCACAAGGCTGTGCCTGTCCAGTCGCGGGACCAGTTCCTGAGACTTCCTGCCAGTTGCTGGAGGGGAACGAGGAGAGAGCCTAGGCACTGCCCACCGGAGCGGGCACGCGAAGAGGGCTAGGTCTGTGAACTGCCGGCTGCTGTGCCCGCGTGTGGGAAGGAAGGGGAAAGGATCAGGGCGCGGGGACACAGGCGGGGAGGGCTGCCCCTCCGCGGCTACTCCTTGTCATCCACAAGGTCGGCGAGTTCCTGCAGCACTCGTAGGCGGCCGCTGGCGTCGATGCGGCGCTTCTCTCGGATGAGGTCTTCCAGGCTGTGAAACCTGGCCGTGTGCACCTTGTTCTCCCCCAGGTGCACCTTGAGATAGTACTGCAGCTGTGGGGGCTGCGTGCCAGCCGGCACCTCCCCTCCCGCCTTGAACTCCCGCTTGCCAAAGCGGCACCAGGCGGCGAAGCTCTCCGAGTTCGTCCAGCAGATCTCCTCGCTCTTGAGGCCCAGGTGGCCACAGGCGTTCTGCACCACCAGCTCGGCCACCAGCGGGCGGTAGCGGTACCAGCTATTCACCACCCGGCCCACGTTGGCCGCGCCCGCCTCGTACAGGCTGTCCTGGCGGATCTCGCCCTGGTGCAGGTGGATGATCTGCCCGCCGCCCACATAGACCGCCCAGTGCGGGGCGGGCGCGGGCGGCTCCTGCGCGGGCTGCAGCCACAGCAGCTCCAGCAGGTCGCCAGGCTCGCAAAGCGCAGGCAACGCCGAGACCGCGTAGACGCTCAGGTCGGCGCCCTGAGGGCCGCCGCTCACTTTGGAAAAGATGCATTCCTGGCCCCGAAAGGCAGAGAACTGAGTCTCGTTAAGAACCAGCTGGTGCAGCAGGTGGTGGTGGTGGCGGCTGGGGCTCTCTGGACAGGGCGAGCACCCTGGAGTAGCCTTCACACCAAACTTGTCGGGCTGGCCACGTTCGTCCAGGTCCTCCTCCTCATCCGAGAAAAAGTAGGCGACCCCAACCCGCAGCTCGTCCTTTTCGATCCCCGACGGGTCCCCAGTGGGCAATTCACTGTAGTTGAGGTGAGTGATGCGGTCCAGTTGGTTGCCCATCAATGATGCGACGAGGCGAGGCCCAGGAGAGGGGATCTGCACAGAGAAGCACAGAGAAGAAGGCAGAGGGACACGGTCAGGTCAGTGTAGGGCCGTCTCTCCCAGAGTCTCTTTTAACATTGGCAGAGCGCAGGGACCAGGGCGCCGGCCCGCGCGCCCGCACTGGAATCACCTGCGTGAGCAGACTCCCCTGTGTCTCTTGGGAGGCGACAGAGGTGTAAAAGCTGCTTCACCGTCCAGGGAGAGAACGGAAGCCACCACCGAGCTTCCAACCCTGTCTATCCCCCAGCTCAACTCCCACGAGGAAAACAAGCTGGTGAGCAAGCATATAGGGAGTCCTCGCAGAGAGGACAGAGTGGGAAGTGGCCGCGTGGTAGGTGGACACCGCAAAAAAGGGAGAAGAGAGACTGGGCGCCTAAGGCCCCAGAGCCAGGAGCAAATGGCGTTCACATTTCTGTTCCCACCCACTCCAACCCACCTACCAGGTTTCCACTAGGTCACACTCCTCCTCTGACAGCGCCTTGCACAGTAACAACTGGGTCGTCAATAGACAGCCACAACATTTTAAACACTTGGGAGTCCAGGCACTGACCGGCTGAACTACTTTTGCGAGTGACATGCATATGTACACACACAATGACAAACCCTCGCGGCGACACACTGACACACTCAGACGCCCACATTCGCAGCAGCACCCAATTCTTGCCCCACGCTGGCACGCTCCCTGATGCACGTACCCCCGAACAGTCGGACACACCTGTCCACAGGAAAGGTGCACTCTGCCCCTTACTTCTCTTGCCCTTTCCCCAGCAGAGCCAATCTGGTTGCACTGGGTGAGGCTGCTCTGTCTAAAATAATCTAACAAAGAGGCAAGGGAAGAATGGGGGAAGCCAATCCGAGAGTGTATGTGCGAGTGGAGGGGGGGTCCACTTGCTGATAAACGATCCTTCTACCTCCTACCCGGCTCAGGATCCAAATAATTCGATGAAGAAAATCGTTTCCAAGGTAAAGAAAGCCGCGCGGCTTCGTACCCGTGATTTCCCAGCTCCCGAAACCCCAAACTCCTTTAAAGTCTCCTGGTCCCCATGGGTGCTTCGGCGGCGGAGGTGGCGAGTGAGTCCGAGGTGGCGTGGCGGGCTGCAGATCGGCTCTGCCCCGCGCGGAACGGTGAGGTGCCCGGCGCGGTGTTCGTGCGCCTGCCCTTCTGCTCTGGCTGTGGATCCTGCTACCTGGGCAGTTCCGGCTCGGCTCTGCTTTCCCACTGCCTCGAGGACGCTCTAAGTAGCCAGAGCAGCCGGCTCCGGGATCCGCCCCGGGACACGCTCATTGGCTGGAGTGGGAACCCAGGCCTCGTCAATCTCCAGCTAGAGTGGGAGGAGATCAGGGGCGGATCTCCTGCGCGGGCTCCGCCTCGCCCCAGGTCTGCGTGGTCCCCAGCCTGTCGAGCCT